ACAATCAAAGTAAGAATATGTCGCATGTGGACAAACAATGATTTCATTACAGGACGCCTGTAAGCCTTGATTGTATTTTGGTTGATGAAGAGGTAATAATTTCTATAAATTTTTTATTACAATTATCTTAAATACATATTTATTGTATTTGAATAACAATATATTTATTTTTTTACAGCATGAAGCAATACAATGATCAATTAGATCACGTGATTCCGACATCATATCTCAAAAAATCCTGCAAGGCAACATATACATCATTAACAACTTTTATGTTGCTGCAAATAAACCAACATATAAAGTTGTTCCACACAATGCAATGATTCAATTTGCACGTGCAACATCTTTTGTTCCTATTGTAGACGAAGCATCACCAATTCCATTCCATAAATTTTACTTCACTGATTTTGATCAGCTACAACAAAGAGTTCATACTACTGAACTTTTAACAGGTAATATACAATATTACTTTAAATACAATACCACATTTTATTTTTAAATCTATTTTTTTCCTTTTATATTAGATGTTATTGGAGTTATAACAAGTATCCAAGCACTGGAACATATAGATATCAACAGCAGACCAACAACATGACGAACTATTATGATACAAAATATAAGGTACATAAATTTTCCACACATTTTATTTTACTTTCAATAAAAAAAAAATCCCTAAAAAAATTAAAAGAAAATGTATCATCATCATTTTAAATATCTATTTCTAAATGTTGGAACATTTTTTTTTTACTTTTCCAACAGAAATGAACAGCTTCAGGTTACCTTATGGGGACATAAAGCAGACCAATTTGAAGAAAATATTATCAAATCACTTCAAGCTCCCCTTGTAGCAGTTTTCGCCGCAATGTTGGTCAAACAATATCTGGGTATGTTTCACATCACTTTATTATTATTATTAAACATATTAATATAAAATATATATCATTATATTAATAATATTGATGTTTATATCTTAGGCAATCCATATGTTTCTAGCACTTCTGCAACAATTTTTTACATCAATCTAGATACTCCTGAAACTGCTACATTGAAAACAAGATAAAATTTTTACTATAGAATATATCTCTATATATATTATTTACAGTACAAGCTTAAATATTTTATTATTTTTTATATCATCAATTTATTACATACACGCAGATTCTCTCAGCAGAGCCAAGAAATAGAATTCCTACTAGCACCAAAAATACCAATCCAATCCATTGAAGAACAAAGAATGAAAAACAGGAAAACCATAACTGAATTACAAACATTAGATCCTGAAATCAATCTGGTTAGTATTATTAAATATTATCCTCTTTTGTTTTTCTTTTATTTTAAAATTTCAACTAATTAATATTCTCTTACATATACAGTCCACACGATTCACAGTACGAGCTACAATAACAGGAATCTCAACAAATCAAGGCTGGTGTTACAACTCTTGCTCCACCTGCTACCAACAATTAAAGCAATCAAGAATTGGTTGGTGGTGCGATAGTCATGGTCATATCAAGACAATGCCATCTCCATGGTAAATCACCATATTTATAAAACATTTTATATTTATATTTATTCTCATCAATTACAATAAATTATTTATCACATTTATTAACTTTGAATATATATATATATATATATTATAGGTACAAATTAAATATCGAAATTGAAGATAATAGTGGAGATATGAATATTACTATATTTGGCATAGCAGCACAAGCACTGATTAAAAGGCCATGTTCTACACTAACCATTGACGAAGGATATACTGATCCATATGTAATTCCACCAGTCATCGATTTGCTCCGTGGACAGACAAAAATCTTCCAAATCTACTTTCAACAAAGGGGCTACCAAATATCAGTTGTTGCATCCAAAATATTTGAAGATAGTCAATCTCCTTTACCACCAAAAAGTATGCCAACAACATCAATTCCTGATACAAAAAGGTAAGTCAAACTTATCAATATATATTTAATATATAAATACAATTTTTAATAATCATAAATAAATCTGTAAAATAATTTTTTTGTCTTCATTTCAGTCATGAACAAACAAGTCCATCACTTACAATGACAATCAATCCACAAACTCCAATTCCCAAAAGAGCAGGCGAAAGGTAAAACATATTTACTATAAAAATTATTCTAAACATTTCTAAATCTACATCTAAATAATTATTTCTAATTTCAGCTGATCAAAATTAAAAGAACATTCTACAAAACGCCAAAAGAAAAGGTAATAAAAATTTTTTTACATCTTCTATCATGCATTATCTATATAAATACTTTGTCAATCTCCTTATATATTGTATTGACTTTTTATGATTTCTTAACGTTTTTATCTTGCAGTTAAAAAATACAGGGCATTGGATTTCATAGGCATTACTCTATTGCAGTATATATATGTCTATATGTGCATATAAATATATTTCCAACTACTATAGTATATCTATATATATTTAGAACTATGTTTGTAATATTAATAGACGTTTTACATATATACATATCTTTGTAACTATGTTTAGAATAATATAAACTCTTTTATATGATACAACATGAAAATCCGCAGCAACGGTTTTGATGCTTAAAGTAAATGAACAGTGAATTACCAGCTTTGTCCTTACTTTCTGATGCTTAATTTTTTTAATACCCATTGTGTCCTGTTATGTTATTTTACGTTTTTGCCCTTGATTTTTCCTCATTGTCTGGCTTAGTTCTAGGGGCATTTTTGTCATTGACTTTTTAATGTTGATTTTTCCTGCCTTCTCTCTCCCTTGGTCTTTGTGTCTTCTGGAGCCTTCTAACGTTTCCTCATCTTTGTGTCTTCTTCATTTTTTTTCCGCCCCAATTGCTTCTCTCTTGATTTGGTGATTGTGGCTGGTTCTTTGATTCCATTGGGCCACAAGTGAACGTCCATGGTTTATGGGATATTTGTTGTGGGTTCTTTGATTTTTTTCTTGCAGGATTTTGGCTTGATTTTTGGATGCTTTTTTGCTTTGTTTTGCTGTTTTCGCCTAATTTTTGGATGCTTTTTTTGCTTCGTTTTGCTGCAGGTTTATTGAAAATTTTTCTTGCATGTTTCTTTCTTGGTCTGATTTGCTCATTTAGTTTGGTTTCCCCTTTATGTTTTTGTCGATTTTCCCCTTTATTTTTTTGTCGAGTCCATGTTCTGCTCATTTCTGCGTTTTTCTCTTTTTTTTTCCTTTTTTTGGTTGGGTTTTGTCTTTGTTGGTTTGATTTGCTCATTTAATTTACTTTTCCCTCTATTCTTGGTCGACTCAATGTTATGTTTTTTTCTTTTCATTTTTTTTCTTTTTTTGATTTTTGTTTCAGTGGCTGGTTTCTTTTGTCATTGGCATGCTTCAAGAGATATATATATATATATATATATTTTGCTTTTATTTTGGTGGTTTTTCCTTTCTTTTTGTTTGCTATTCACTTTTGTCATTGATCTATTTCAGGAGATAAATTTGTGCAGAAAGAAGGTTCTATGAGCGTCTTTTGATATTCTTTGTTGCTGACTTCACCTGATATACAGGTAAATATCGATTTTTTTGCTTTGGATTGATTAATTTGTTGATCTGTGATATTTAGACTTCTGATTTGGCTACCTAGGTTGATGATTTGTACCCAAATTGTTGCAGACGCATTTACTTAGGTTGATGATCTGTACCTTAAACATAGATTCTTTTGTTTTGGATTGATTAATTTGTTGATCTGTGATATTTAGACTGCTGATTTGGCTGCCTAAATTGATGATCTGTACCCATATTGTTGCAGACACATTAACTGCTTAGGTTGATGATCTGTACCCATATTATTGCAGAGACATTAAATGAACTATTTCTTTTTTTTTCTTTATCGTTAGTTAATTCCTGAAATTTGTGAAAAATCTGAAAAAAAAAAATTGAAAGCTTTTCCTTTTTGTTTTTTTTCCTTTTTTTTCCCTTTTTTTTCTATTTCCTAAACTCATTATTATTTATCTATTATTTGGTTTTTGCTTAGTATACATGTACGTTGCTTCTGCCACCTGATTAAGCAATCTTACTTCCTTAATTCTTACAAACCGACTTTGTTGTGCTACGTGTCCTCTTATAAATCATGTACTGTTGAAATTTTTTCCCTCATTTACTGTTTATAAATGCTACTGCTATATTAGCATTTTGTTATCTATCTGTCCCTTGCTCTCCCGGTAACTTTGCTTTGTCTCCTTCATATTTCATCTCACGTTATTTACTACTCTGCTACATTTTCAATCATTGATTGCTCTTTCTATTCATGTTCTTCTCCCTTGCGCTTAACTTTTAATCCTTTGCATTTCATCTTCGATCATTTATTACTCTGCTTTAATCCTACTCATTTACTACTCCAACTTCCTGCCTTTGTATTTGCTCACTTTCTTTGCTGATTTTTGACTGGTAGCTATTTCATATTTAAGGCAGCGTTTATAGTGCTCCAGGTATTACTTATAACCTTTGCCTATAGCCATTCACTATTTGCTAATCTATGTCTACTTTTTTCTTCTATTCTCTTTTCTTTATATCGTAATTATGATTGGGATGGATTTTGACATCTTGAACTTTATATAAACAATCCCAAAACAACTGTGATTGGGTTTATCTCACTTCCTCTTCCTATTCCTTGTAAAGCCAAGAATTGGAACCTGTCCAATTTAGAAAGAGAAAGGCATTCTTGGTTGTTTGTGTAAGTGAATGTTGCTCCATCTACAGGTAAATCCACCAACTGAATTTAGCTTCCAGGTTGATTTCAGTACCACTTATTTCATCCTAATTTTTTGATGACTTTAACTTAGTTTGGTGTATTGGTCCTTTTTTCCTGTTGGTGTCAGGATTTTATCTTAGTTTTGATTCTTTATTGTTCTATTCTTATTATTTTAGATAGGAAACTGTCTTTATATCATCTTTCTCCTCCTTTTTTTACTTGCTCTAACATTTTTTACTTTTTGGCTTTATTGTTCTATTCTTATTATTTGAGTTAGGAAACTGTCTTCATATCATCTTTCTTCTCCCTTTTTACTTGCTCTAACATTTTTGGCCTTTTCGTTTCATCTTGGCATATTTACTACTCATTCTTTTGAGCTGGCTCTGCCTGATTTCTATTTCATTGGCTCATATTCACTATTTCTGGCAATATTCGTTACAGGTACTTTCACTAACTCTTGCCCATATTCTCTTCATTATCACATACGCATATATCTGTACACATTTTTGCTTAATATATTTAACCCTTACTTGGTTTTGTATATGACAATGATACTTACAATTAAATTTGATCTCTTGACCGCTTTGTAGTCGGTCCAAAATTTGTTGACAAGAAATGCCCCTTACTCATATTGAGCAAAATGATTTAAATGTTTTTCCTTTTTTTTCTTTTTCTTCTTCTTCCTCTTCTATAGTATGTGGCAATGATGATGATCAGTTTTGGCCTATTCAATTTCGTCTAATGTGTTCAAAAATTGCTGTGAACAAATCTATCTTATTTGAATTTCAATTTTTTCTTTTCTTTTGACTAAAATAGTTTAAATCTTTCTCTTTTTCTTTTTCTTTTGTTCTCCTTTTTTTCTCCTCCGGAAAATTTAAGAGCATTTTCACTTGATTTAAGTTTTATCTATTTCTATTTACTAAATTCTTCCATATTATTTCTCTTATCATTTTACAAATTTGATTTCCAATACAGCAACAGTATCACCTCCCCTGTTTTGGTGTTCATTTTTTTGTTTGTATACAAAAAATGTTTTGAACTTAAATATATTTTTCCTAATCGTTTCTTTGATTAGCTTTATATATAAAAAATCATTTTTCTTCTCAATATCTGAGCCACAATTAGACAAAGCTTTGTGTTTGTTTCTTTGTTTGTATATAATTTGATCTGACCAAGGAGCATCACGTTGGCTTTGAAGCAGCTGCATGGTACTGGCATTTTGTAGATGTGATTTGGTTATTCCTATTTTTCTCCAATACAGCAACAGTAACACCTCCCCTGTTTTGGTGTTCATTTTTTTGTTTGTATACAAAAAACGTTTTGAACTTAAATATATTTTTTCTAATCGTTTCTTTGATTAGTTTTATATATAAAAAATTGTTTTTCCTCTCAATATCTGAGCCACAATTAGACAAAGCTTTATGTTTGTTTCTTTGTTTGTATATAATTTGATCTTACCAAGGAGCATCACATTGGCTTGAAGCAACTGCATGGTACTGGCATTTTGTAGATGTGATTTGGTTATTCCTATTTGTCTTTATCTATTGGTGGGGAGGTATATGAAGGAACGAAAGAGTGGACCATATTATTTCTCTTATCATTTTACAAATTTGATTTCCAATACAGCAACAGTATCACCTCCCCTATTTTGGTGTTCATTATTTCGTCCAATATACAACTCTTTATTCTTGGGCTTTTACTATTTTTGTTTTAACTATTTAAGCCGAAGTCTATTTTTGTAATAGGATCTGATTAGATAGAACAAAATCGTTTCTTTGATTAGACAAAGTTTTATGTTTGTTTCTTTGTTTGTATATAACTTGATTTACGTATATTTTTCATTTTATTAATCTATCTTTTATATAATTGTATTGAGTATTATTAATTTCAGTTTTTTGTCATCGTAAATACATGTGATTATTATATATTTTTTTATTATTTTATTTAGATTACATCACAGTAAGAAATATGTAATGTAATAAATTTATTGCTTCAATTAATTACTAATCAATCACTATGACTCAATTTTTTTGATATGTATGAAAAAAATCCGATTGAATAATATTAGAAAATTAGTTGCTGGATTATTTAGTACTAACTTTAATATAATAGTTAATTGTTTCTTTAAATAGATTATAAAATCAGTTACAGTTACATTACTTAGGCAAATAATTTTATATTTTCTTTATAATTGCTGAAGCAATTTTGCGTTTAATAATATAATAAAAAACGTTAAGTTGAATTTATATAAAAATTTCAGATATTAAATTAACTCTTTATAAACAAATAAAATTTTGATAGTTTTTAGCTTAAGATAGAAATTTAAATTATAAACTTATATTACTTACTGCAAACTAATATTTTCCTGCCTTTATTAACAGCCAAAATAATATCATATTGTATTGAACAAATGGATAAAACAAAGATTGGAAAAAAATGATCATGATCAAATCAGCATATGCATCGTATTATTTCAGAGGTGGATTGAGGTTCCAAGAACGTGATTAAAAAATACTGAAACCAAATCAATCAAAATAGCGGATCGTATCAATGACTTCTTGATGCAATGTTGATTTCTTCGCAGTCTCTAAATAATATCATGTCACTCCCGTTAACATATGACAATAGTAATGAATAACGTAAATTTCCTAATTTCCTTATCTATAGTAATTATTATATTTTAGCAATTAAAACTCCTCTTTATAATAATAAAATTAACTCCTTATATGTTGCTTCCATAATCACTATTGATTTTCTTTTATAGGTACTATCAATATTTATATTGATTTTGGAGATTGTTCTTGCACCTGTTAATATTGTGGTGCTCTATTCTGGTTTAATGAACGAATAAAAAATAGTAATCCTCCTACATTTAATCTTTGTTGTAGAAATGACACAATAAAATTGCCTTTACTTAGACAAACACCTGTTGTATTAAATGAATTACTTAATTATCATGGAGGTCTAATGAGTAGACATTTCTGAAGAAATATACGAACATATAATTCTATGTTTGCATTTACATCCATCGGAACAAACATAGAAACAAATACAATAAATTCTGATGGTCCATATATTTTCAAAATAAGTGGACAAGTGCATCATCTTATTGGATCTCTATTATCAGTTAATAATAATCGTCTAAGATTTGCACAACTTTATATATATGATATAGAAAATGAAATTAAAAATTGATTATCATCATTCTCATTTGATGATCAATCACATAATTTCAGCAGATTAATAATTGAAAGTCTTATTAAAATGCTAGATAATACAAATGTATTAGTCAAAATGTTTCGAATGATAAGAGATAGATATAAAGAATATGATATACCATACATGAAATTGAGACTTATAAGCCGAAGAAACACCGATAGTAGCCAATATGAATTGCCAACCTCGAATGATATAGGTGGCCAAATAGTCGGCGATATCGGTGAATATGAACAAGGAAGAGATATAATAATTCAAGACAAAACGGATACTTTACAAAGAATTACTAAATTACATCCATCTTATATGGCCTTACAATACCCTCTATTATTTCCCTATGGCGAAGACGGTTTTAGAACAGATCTGAAAATAATTACACATAACACAAATAATAAATCTACAAGAAAGAATTTCTATGCGAGAATTTTATTGCTATCAACTGCAAGAATGCAAATTTCAGGGTAATACTCTTTTTAGAGGAGGGAGACTATTCCAACAATATATAGTTGATGCATATGCCTCTATAGAAGAAGATCGTCTAGACTATATTAGAAAAAATCAAAAAATTTGAGATCTAAAATTTATCAAGGAATTCAGGATGCTATAACGAGAGGAGATACAAATGCACAAGCAATAGGAAAAAAAATTATTCTTCCTTCCAGTCACACTGGAAGTCCAAGATATATGATTCAAAACTATCAAGATGCAATGGCAATTTGTAGATTCTATGGAAATCCTGATTTATTCATAACATTTACATGTAATCTAAAATGGCCTGAAATTACTAAAGCTTTAGCAAAAATACCTGGACAAAAACCTAAAGACAGGCCATATATCATTACAAGAATTTTTAAAATGAAATTGGACCACTTTTTATCAGTTATTAAAAATGAGAAAATCTTTGGCACAATCATAGCAGGTTAGTAAACATTTTCAAAATTTTCTGAATTTTATGAATACAAATAGAAGTTATTGATCATTTTCTTTTTTCCCATTTAATCAAAATTTAACCAATTTTCTCTTATTTTTCCCTATTCATTTTGTAGATCTATATGTTGTTGAATTTCAAAAACGGGGGTTGCCACATTCTCACTTCTTGTTTTGGCTACAGCCTGATCAAAAATTGCGTGAGCCATCACAAATAGATAAATATATCTCTGCAGAAATACTAGATCCAGAAAAGAATTTATTAGAGCATAATGTTGTTGCTGAATTTATGATTCATGGACCATGTGGTATGGCTAAAACAAATGCTCCATGCATGAAAAATTCACAATGCTCAAAAAAGTTCCCAAGACAATTAAGAAATGAAACAATTATCCAAGAGAATGGAATTGTAGATTATAAACGAAGAAATATAGTTTTTTATGTACAAAAAGAAGGCATAAAATTAGATAATGGATACGTAGTTCCCTACAATAAAGACCTATGCATGAAATTTCATGCTCACATCAATGTAGAAATTTGTGCACAATCTATGCTTATAAAATATTTATTTAAATATTTAACAAAAGGACCTGATAGAATAAGAGCTGTTATAGAAGACAACATATGTACAGAAAAATCTGGACAAATTATTTATCAAGAAGTCGATGAAATAAAAAATTATATTAATTGTAGATATATAACGCCATATGAAACAATGTGGCGTTTATATGAATATCCTATACATCATAGAAATCCTGTTGTTCAACGATTATCAATACATTTACCAAAATCGCAAAATGTAACATTTCATTCAAATCAACACCTCAATAACGTAATAAGACAACCTGGCATTCATAAAACAACTCTTACTGAATGGATGGAAACTAATAAACATGATATCAATGCTAGAGAATTAACTTATATTGAATTTCAAAGTAAATATGTTTGGAATAATAAATACAAATATTGGTCCCCAAGACAAGCAGGACATACAATTGGATGAACCTTTTATATACATCCAAATATTGGAGAATTATACTATTTAAAACTATTACTAAATCATCGAAAAGCAATAACTAATTATGAAGAACTTCGAACAGTTGATAATATTATATATCCAACAAACCAAGCCGCCTGCTATGCACTAGGCTTATTAGGAAATGATAGAGAATGGGATGAATCAATATCAGAAGCTGCATTTTCGTCAACATCAATCCAATTACGACTACTATTTGTCACAATTTTACTATTTTGTAATGTAAATAATCCGATCAAATTATTTGAAAAACATTGGAAACTTATGACAGATGATATCATGCATAAAATTAAAACATTATTTAATAATCCAAATTTTCAAATACTCGAAATTGAATTATACAATTTTGTACTATATGAATTAGAAAAATCATTAAATATAAATTCATCAACTTTAACACATTTCAATTTACCACTTCTGACTAGATCATTAATAGAAGATTTAAATAATAAACTACTACGAGAAGAACTAAATTATGACACAAATGAATTAAAACATCAAAATACTGTATTAGTACAAAACTTGTATAATGAACAAAGATTTATTTACGAAGAAATTTTAAAATCACTCAATAATAAAAAAGACAATATCTTTTTCATCTATGGTCATGGTGGAACTGGAAACACATATCTATGAAATGCAATCATCACAAAGATTAGATCAAATAATAAAATAATTCTCGCTGTTGCATCTTCTGGAATAGCATCACTATTATTACCTAAGGGAAGAACTGCTCATTCCTGCTTCCGAATACCATTATCAATAGATAAATTTTCCACCTGTCACATAAAAAAGAAACTCAATTAGCAAAATTAATTGAAAAAACACCACTTATACTATGGGACGAAGCACCAATGACTAACAAATATTGCTTTGAGGCAGTAGACAAAACACTTCAAGATTTGAAGAATAATTTTGAACAACCATTCGGTGGCATGACTATTGTACTAGGCAGCGATTTCAGACAAATTTTGCCAGTAATTCCTACCGGAACAAAAGAAACCATAATTGATGCAACAATAAATAATTCTTATCTATGGCCATATTTCAGAGTACTAATATTAACAGAAAATATGCGCTTAAAACGCTATAACATTACTGAAGCAGAAAAGAAAGAAATCACAAAATTTTCAAATTGGATATTAGACATAGGAAATGGCACTGCTAAAGGAATAAAAGACCTAGAAAATGAAGATGCTACTTGGAGAAAAATACCAAAAAAAATATAGTACATTATGAATCAGATCCAATTGAAAAAATTTCATCATTAATCTATGATAACTTTAATTATTACTTTAATGATATTGAATATTTGAAACAACGTGCAATAGTAATGCCTAAAAATAAAATAGCTGACGATATTAATAATCATATGCTATCCTTGGTACCAACTGAATTAAAAACTATAGTTATGATACAATTATGTCATCATCAGAAAACATAGAT